ACAAAACATTGACAAGTATTTGACAAAACCTGATTGCACATCAAACTAAACCTTGTGTGTCAAACCAAAGTTCATCCTATATATGAAACCTTAGATGAAGGATGATTTTCTAGGATTCCAAGCTCTAATGTTTTTGAGTACTCTGTACGAGAGAAATGCATGCCAATGTATACAAATTCCAGAAGCTCTAATAATCTTCTATTTGACACCATAGGCTAATTTATTATCTCACATATTGAAGTCTGGGATCTTTTGGGTTTAGTATTCTTTTTGCACATAGTTTTTGTAAATTCTTTTAATGTACAACTTTCCAGATTTTTTAAATTCTCTATAGCTACAGTGTGTCCTGTAGTAGGAATTTTAAGGGTGTTTTTTTAATGCCAAAGTTACAGTTTTTTTCCACTGTTATTGCAATTATACTATTTCCAGATTTTTGAATGACTTAACAGGCCACACACACAGCAATTTTATTTTTTAATTTTTACTTTTGAAAGTACCCAGTGGGGGCTCTCATAATTTATTTACAGTAGTGTATGAGAGGTTTTATGTTATTTGGTATTTTGAGTTTGCATATTATTGTAAACCTATACTTAATACAAGTTTACGTAGCTAAATACATGCTGTGTAACAAGCACATGAGCTATCTGTTCTTGCATTGTCATTGTTGTCCCAGCTATTGAGGCACCAAAGTTTTTGTAGGTTTATGAAAGTCGTCACCTGCTCAGAGCTAAGCATGTTCTCCCTACACCCTTAACCTTCATTTACTAGGGTTGGGGCCTGCCAACAGGCTGCTCAGAGTACTGAATTGTGTAAGGCAAAGGGAAATATTAAGCTTTTAACCAGAGCATCAGCAGCAGATTGGAGCATTGGCAAGGTAAGGGCAAACCAAAATTTCCTATTGGATAATATGTATATTTTAATAGACTGCACTGACAAAACAGAACTACAAACACAGTTGGTACCATTTGAAGCATACCGATGTTTGAGTCTAAAACTAAGTTTATTCCAAAACTTAATTGGGTACAAAATCCAACACGTTTCAGGGGCCAAATGAAGCCCCCTCAGGGCAAAAGCATGACATAAAGTTGGAAGTTAAAATAATCATTTGACATAACAGTAAAATTTTATATATATATATATATATATATATATATACCCCTAATGCCAAAAAAAAGTTGGGCCAGGGCCATGTTTATCATGGTGTATCATCCCCTCTTCTTTTAACAACACTCTGTAAACATCTGAGAACTGAGGAGACCAGTTGCTGGAGTTTTGGGAGAGGAATTTTGTGCCTTTCCTGCCTGATCATATGCTGCTCTAAAAACCATATATGCTGTGTAAAGGATCTCATCCCATCTCATCATAGATAGGGCCATAAGATTAGAAACATAAAGTGACAGTCCAAGAAAAATATTTTTCAGATAATAAATGTCCAATCCAGTATATGTTGTGTTATCAACCAGCAATAATTAACACCGTGCTTGACTTCTGACAGTGAAGAAGTGACATGACCTATGATGAAACATGTTGAGTGGAGCCTAGTGGTGTCACTTCCGGGCATGCCCAAACCGGCAGGAGTGATGTGAGGAACCATTTTGATTGATGGCTGTGATATGCTTTGTATTCATTACTTTTGTGTGTACATTTTTTATTTGAATAAAGTGTTCATATTTTATGGGGTTGCACTATGATCTATTCCCTTTATTTTTGATCATATACACCTTAATTCCACTGGATATCCGAGAGCATGTTACCTTAAAGGGCCAGAACTAATGAAGTATACTAAGGATTGGCAGTGGATAAGCAGAATTTGGTTTCATCCCTAATTATGTATGACCTATTTGTTAGGTCAGGGAAGAAGGTGAGTGCATGGTGCACCTACCCGGTGATGGTAAACACCACAAAATAGCCGGCACGGTGGAGTAATGCATATATGTTCACCATAATTCGGAGTCACACATAATTTGTTTAATGTGAGTTCATATTGTAACACGTTTAATTTTTGGTTACATAAAATGGTGTTGCACTATGGTATGTTTTTGTTTTATTTTGCACGGATCTGGAGTTTAAAGAAGCATAATATGTGGAAGGAACACGTCACGGATCAGAAATTTGGAGACACAGTTTCCTTATAAAGCATGTTTTTGGCCTATTATAATCTATAGGTTAATGGTCAAGGTGAGCAGGTCAAGCACGGTGTTGATTATTGCTGGATGATAACACAACATATACTGGATTGGACGTTTATTATCTGAAAAATATTTTTCTTGGATTGTCACTTTGTTTCTAAAGCTTATGGTTCTATTTATGATGAGATGGCGAACCACATTTTTTTTGTTTATTTAATTTTGAGTGTGAGTACACCAGAGTACATAGTGAGTGCAGCAATCTTCTTCTCTGATATTACTATAGTTGGAACATAGTAGTGCATAGGTCTTTACCATTTGCATGTATATATTGTGTATTTCAGCATTGATGATGCTTTTCCAGATGTGCAAGCTGCCCATGTGTATTTCAGCATTGATGATGCTTTTCCAATGTACTTATATAGCGCTGTCAATTTACGCAGCGCTTTACACATATATATTGAACATTCACATCAGTCCCTAACCCTTAAGGGGTATACAATCTAAGGTCCCTAACTTATATTCATACATACACATATTAGGGCCATTTTAGACAGGATCCAATTAACCTACCAGCATGTCTTTGGAGTGTAGGAAGAAACCAGAGCACCCGGAGGAAACCCACGCAAGCACAGGGAGAACATGCAAACTCCATGCAGGAGGTGCCATGGTCGGGAATCGAACCCATGACCCATTTACTGCAAGGCAGACGTGCTAACCACTAAGCCACTGTGCCACCCCTGAATGTGCAAGCTGCCCATTCCATACACACTAATGCATCCCTATACCAATAGAGGTACAGGATTTTTAGCCAAGTGCTGATAACATGTCGGAAAGTCCCTCTCCTCTTTAATCTGTAGGATGTAGCACCCATGGTTCCAAAAAATGTCAGATTTTCATTCGTCTGACCACAGAACAGTTTTCCACTTTGCATCAACCCATTTTAAATGTGCTTTGGCTCTGAGAAGATGGCAATGTTTCTGGTGCTTCTTCTTTCGATGATAGAGCTTTAACTTGCATATTTGGATGTCACAATCTATGTTCACAGACAGTGATTTTTGGAAGTATTCCTGAGCCTATGCAGTGATGTCCATCACATCATCGTACCCGTTTTTATTGCAGTGCCATCTGAGGGCCCAAAAATCACGGGCATCCAGTGTTGCATTTCGGCTTTGTTCCTGATTCTCAGAATCTTTTGATGATATTGTGTACTGTAATATGATATATTTAAAGTGTTTACAATTTTACATTTAGGAACATTATTCTGAAATTGCTCAAAAATTTTTAGATGAAGCTTTTTACAGATGAACCTCTGCCCATCTTTACTTCTGTAACACTCTGACTCTCTAAGGCCCCTTTCATACTGGGCAGACTCCACTTGCGATCTGCTTGCTCAGCAGGAGATCTGTCCACTGATTCCCCACTGAGCAGGAGGATGACAGGTCTGTGTCCACTTCGCTTATGCAGAGCGGACACAAGCACATCCCGCTTTGTTGTATGGGAAGTTAGATGTAAACAAACTACCAGTCCTTTTACACCCTCTGGTCCAACCTACCCTCACAGCGCGCTCCAAGCACAAAGACCGGGGTGTCACTGAGTGCCCATTCTAAGGATCGGGACCCAGGACTCCTGATTCCGGCTCACTTGATAGCTGTGATAGCCTCTGATTGGCTATCACAGTAATCAGTCACTGTGAAGCCAGCCCCCCTTTTTTTTTATTCTCTCTGAATAAAGGATAGAGATACATTTGTATTTCTCTCTTTCCTTGCAGAGAGAAAAAAAACTGTTTTTGTAAAATAATGAAAAAAAAAGATAAATATTAAAAAATAAAATACAAAATGAAGAAAAAATACCTAGATCAAGGTTTGATCTAGTTCAGTTCCAGGATTAGTGTTTAGGTCAAGGTCAGAATTTGTTTTTTTTCTTTTTTTAAATTGGTATCTGTGTTAGTTAGTGTTATTGTGTTTTAGGTAAGAAAAAACAAAAGGCGCACTATTGTTTCTGGGCTGTAGTACAGGTACAAACAACAAATAACATACACATATATGGTTTCGCTGCTTTTGTCAAGAGCTGGAAAATTTATTTTGGGTTGTTCTTTGGTGGTAGGTTATGGTAGTAACAAGAAACACACAGCTAAATGAAAAAACAATTTTGTTTTGTACTATTTTGGGCCAGTTTTCCTTTGATAATAAAAAAAATCAGATATCCATTACCATTTACCACCAAATGAAAGCCCAGTTTGTTCTGAAAAAAAAACAAGGTATAATTCACCTGGATGTACAAAGTAATTGTGATATGCATAGTTTTACTAACACATGTCAAAGTTGTAAAATTTTACTTCGGTTTTAAGATTTGTTTTACCCTTAGACGTGAAGGGGTTCAAAATGACAAAACATTTAAGCACTTAGGTGTCACTCATCTCAAGGTTCCAGCACCATCCATGTACCCCTTAAGGCAATAAGAACCTGACTGACTTTCTAAGGCTTTCCCACTATGCCAAACATGAGTTATATTTCACATATAGTTACGTGTATTGAAGTGCAGTAAAGATATTCATTTATGTTTGTGCCGGACAACAATTGCTTTGTGTGTGGTTAGTATGAAAGTCTTCAATGAAAAATGGGTCGATTGTTTTCTAATATAAATAAATTCTCATCACAGTTGTTAATTTACATGCTTTTGCTTGCCTCCTCTTACCTTATACATTTCTGTTGTGCATTGTGCTGCAGTTTTATTTCATTTATCTCTTAGGTGCATGGAATTACAAATGGCTGGAGCATCAAAAAGAGACATTGCTTTATGAAAATACCAGTTTAATGATTTTTTTTTCACTTAGCATCTTTTTTTCCCCCCTCTCCTCTTTGCTATCTGCAGCAGACTGCTATGCCAGCAATCTCTGTTCTAGATTTGGTATGTTCTGTATTTTCTTTCGCTCTTCAAACATCTTGCTGTCTCTTTCCCCCCTTTTCTCTTATGTAATTTCACACTTTTTTTCTGTAGTATTAGCTGTGCTGTCTTTGCTTTGTCTTTGCTGTCCTGTTTTTGGAAGATATCCTCCTGTTTTTGAAGCATGCCTTGCCTGGAAGTAGTATCTCTAGTTTCTGAATGCCATTGTTCTTTGTTTCTTACATTTATCTGTTCTGTTTTGTAGACGTGTCTCTTTCAGGGATGGGCAACTTTGGTATTCAGTTGTATCTGAAGTGAATATTCTAGGATTTATGGCCAGCTATTGGTCAGTAGCAGCTTGATTTCCAGAAGTTGCCGATCACTGTTTTAAATACTTTTGTTTTGTGCTTACACAGTGTTTTATGTACAAGCCAGGGTATTTTGGTATATTTGGGAGTGGTAATGAAAAGACAGTAGCTTTATTCTATTTTTAGGTTGTAACACAGAAAGCACAGTCCATGTTTTCCTTTAAACTGAGGACAGAATTCAGTTGTGTCAGAAGATTTACATTTGTAAAAAAAAATAAAAAGCCTCTATTTTTCACGACCATTTTTTTGATAGCACGAAAGTCTTCTGTAGAGCCCAACTATTGGAGAACATAAAGGCTGTAATGAATATGTTAGAATTTACCAATTAACTGATGAAATAGAAATTAGAACCTTGCCCAAAGGAACTTGCACTCTAAAAGATGGATAGTTAAATGATATTCCTCATAGAGATTTATTGACAATAAACATTGCTTTCAAGTAAACCAGGCTGTATAACTCAGATATGTAAATTTTGCATATAGCTAGCTTACATCATCTAATGAAAATAGTAGCAGAGAAAATTAGATCCTTTGCTGGGCAATGTGTGATCTTCCTGATGTTGGGAATTAGCTGAAAAATGTAAAAGGAGTACTAGTATTCCTAGGAAAACATGGTAAAGTAGTTGTAGTGTATAGCAATCAAATGAGGATCAGGAAAAGCTTGGCATTTGTCTTATCCTGTTATCCCATCTATTTCTTGACCTTTTCATTCCCCTTCCTGTGTCTTTGCACATGTAACAAATCCCCCATCACCTGTGCATATGAATAATCCCCCACCACATGCAATTGATTACCATGTATGTACTATTTTCTCAAACCTAGCTGCTGTAATGTACAAACATTTTTTTTACGAACAACATTGTGCCATGACCTTTACGGATTGCAAAAGAAATCAAGTGTTCATATATGTTAACTCTGCTTCTATAAAGTGCAAAGGTACCAATTCATTACCACTGATGTCAATATATTGACTTCAATACAACTAACCTGCTCATGGATGGATGGAAATTTGGCCAATTCTGTTGAACCGGCCGAATTTCGATCTGTCTATGACAGACCTAAGATATATTTTTTGTTCTTGCTGAAAATGTTCTTAGAATGAAAACGCAATGAATACAGCCACCACATCTAATGACTGGCAAGCTACAATGTATATTTGTTTTATAGCTTTAGATACACTTTAGTAGTATTAGATACTTTAGCAGCTAGAGGGAGCATTTTTAATGGTCTGTGTACACTTAGAAGTATGGGTTTCCTTTTTTAGGCTTAACCTGTTCCCTGTGAGCTGCTAATGCGTAACAATATTTCCAGCCCTCTGAGAAGTGTACCTTTACTGCTAAAATCAAGGTAAATACCTGTGGGAGGGGCTTCAGTCTTCTCAGGATTCTTAGGAAGACAATCTTGTCTGGATCCACCTCCTTTGCTTCTCTTGTGTTTGATGTTGGCTCTGGGTTGTCTGCTCCCCCCTACCTCCTCTTTTCTTCTCTCACACAACACACAGCTCAGATCGATTCTCTCACAGACACCTATCTGCACACTGGGTAACTGCCTGCTCTTCTTCTGCAGTTCTTACATGTAAAGTTCCCAGATAAAAAATGGCTGTGAGCTGTGTGTTGTGAGATTTTTATATATTAGCAGCTCACAGGGAATAGGATAAAGCTAAAAAAAAAAATAGAAAACCTCTTCTTCTCTTAAGTGTCCCACTGGTTTGATGTTAAAATCAATGAATGTGTGGTACAGTAAAGCAGCCTATTTTTTATGCATGGGTTGCCAATGGGCCACAGCAATGATACAATGTACATAACCTTTTAAGCATTGTGCTTTGGACTCTACTGTACAATGCACTGGGTTGCCGTTAACAATGCGATGCTACCTAATCTGTGCACAGGTAGATATAGATTTCTGCAAACTTTAGCAATAAATAAAGAACTGGGTTTAGAGCAAACATAATTTTCATTATATTCAGGATAGTACAAACCTCTGTGAATAGTTACATTTTACAGCACTGTCAAGGGGACAGACTGGAGCATGGCGAAAGACTAAGTATAACTCATAAGTGACTCAAAAAAAGAAAAAATAGCCCAGTCTCTTCAAATATAAACTCCCCCTAAAATTGTACATCTGCTCTATTTTAAATGTTTAAAAGTCATGCCTAAGAACAAGACACCACGAGATGTCTGCTACTAACTTTATTTTTTTAGCTAAGCCACTTCTGTGCCTTTGCCTAATTTAGTTTCACTTTGGTAATGGTTCCAGATCTTTACTGACTTAATGACTAAGCTCCTCCATCCGTCATTAACATGTCCAGAGTGATGAAGAAGTAATACCTGGGCTCTCTCAGGGATGATAAAAAAAGACCTTCTCCCTCAACCTTAGGTAGACCGGGTACAGTAAATTATTCCAAAACCTTCCATTCGCCAGCATAACTATGATCAACAAGTTAAAGCAGGGTTGCTCCAACTTTTGAAGAGTGAGGGATATTTAGGGAATTGTAAACTGGTCGCAGGCCACAATGAAATGGAATGGTTCAGAATTTCAATTTTTTTTATCTTGAACAGCATAATGAACATTTTCCTTCTGCAGCTGCTGAATGCCAGCAGGAGGGAGAGAAAAAGCCGGCTTTCAGCAGTTGCAGGAGGAAACTGGAGAGGATCAGTTCCTGTTTTTGCCATCCCTCCTGTTCCAAGTGTAAAAGAGAATGTGAGAAGGTGGTCACACAGGCCCCCTGGAGCATGGGTCGGGGTTGTCACTGCGTCCCCTGACGCTGCACCAGTGGTTGGAGGGGGGTAAAAAAAAGTCTCCGCTATGGAGTTGTTTCAGAGCCCATTGGCCTTTTACTCCTTCAGTTAGAATATTATACAGGGGTCTTCCATGTAGCTGCCCATTTGTTCCTCTGTAGTGCCAAAGCTTCTGAATATAATTTTTTTTCTGTGCTACAGAAGCTGCCATTTCAACCCAGTACAGACATTCCTCTCTACTCTCACCCACAAGGTGGTATTCTTGTAGCCATCACCTCTGTGAGGCAAGAGTTTGGCCTTATCTTGCAAGAATTCTTTCTGGTTTAACCTAAGGTAGTTCTCACCTTCACCTCAACCAGGGCATTGTTCTCTTGCCCCTCTGACTGGTTTCAGTTTACCGAAGGTAAATTCCCTCCATTGTCTGGAGGTTTTTCAGGTAATGAATCTCAGCCTTGGCCTCTTTCAGAAACACTGTTGCAGTTTTGTGATCTTTGATGGACCCCGTAAGGGTACAGGCCAAGAACTTTATTATAAGCTTACCTGTAGATAAGAGTATAAAATAAAGTTTACTACAACTATAAATAGGAATGCATTCGTTTATTTTTTTTTCCCAAATTTTTTTTTAACTGGTGTCATATTCAAGTCACACCTTTTGATTTACATTTTGAATGAAATCGTGAATACAAGGTAACAATACATTATTACACTGTGTTACTCCAAGAACACTTGCAAACTATCTGCAAGTGTCATTGTACAAAGTTGCCTTTTTGTTAGAATTCCATTTAATATTCCTCTGCTTTTCAGAGTTGTTTTTTTTTCCCCCTATAAGCCATACTTTTGTTGGAGATAATGAAAGGGGATTATCAGAACTGGACCATGGATCAACGGAAGAAGGTGGCTTGGTCTGATGAATCATATTTTCTTTTACATCATGTGGATGGCTGGGCGCTTGTATGTTGCTTACCTATGGAAGAGATTGCACCAGGATGCAGTATGGGAAGAAGGCAAGCAGGGGGAGGTAGTGTGATGCTTTAGGCAAGGTTTTGTTTGGAAATCTTGGGTCCTACCATTTATGTGGATGTTACGTGACACATACCACCTACCTAAACATTGTTGCTTACCAAGTACACCACTTCAAACAGTAATCCCTGATGGCAGTGGCCTTTTTTTAGATGGATTATGCACCCCTGCTGTGCTGCAAAAATAGTTCAAGAATGGTTTGTGGCACTTAATAATGGGTTTAAAGTGTTGACTTTGCCTCCAAATTCTTCAGATCTCAATCTAATCCTGCATCTGTGGGATGTGTTTGAAAAACAAGTCCAACCCATGGAGTCCCCACTTCGCAACTTACAGGACCTAAAGGATCTGCTATTGATGGCTTAGTGCCAGATACCACAGCATACTTTTAAGAGGTCTAGTGGTGTCCACGCCTTGATGGGTCAGGGGCATTGAAACTGAACTTCAGTTAAACAGCTAAATGAGATTTTTTTTTTCCTCTGCTACACTTAGGTAACACTTACAGGTCTTGTTCCTCCCCCAGCCTGTGAATGGACAGTGAATGATGAAGCAGCAGATTGATGAGCCAGACTATCTTACTGTTAGTGTGCTCTCTACTCCTATCAGCATGTTCCTTGTTAGCACATGAGTACTGCAGCAGAGCTGACTGACTCCTTGTGTCCCTTTTCCTTCTCCATTCCTGCTGTATAGAGGATTCCAAAATGCTGATGCCAAGTCAGTGAGGTCCTTAATTTACTTTGAATTTAAAAAGTACATTTAGGGCCAGTTTACACCAGAATGAGGATAGGGAATCCTGCATTCCGTGCGTGTTTCCTGAACCATGTTCAAAATGCACTGCAGTTGTGATCTGCAGCAGGTGTCAAGGTTAACTACATGACACCCCAAGTAAATGTTGCAAAAAT